AAATCATAGATGGCGCTGATCGCAGGCGGTAAAATTTGTATTCGAACTGGATACTAGAAATCAATTCCACGGTAGAAAATTAATAAATTGCCAAGTTTTTCTAATTAATTCGTGAACATTTATAGCTGCACAGTAAAATTCGAATTATAGGCAACATTTTTATAGGATGTTTAATTTAATAATTAATACTTACGTGAGCGATAGGTTTAGTATTTCCTGTAGTAAATAAGATTGCTATAGAAAAGTGTTTTTCTTGGATAATATTCTTATTATTTTGCAATAAACATATACAAGCATAAGAAAGCGCAAAAAATAAATTTTTTTATTAAGAAGTTTTATTTATAATTGTGTATTTACAATGTTTTCATAGGCGAAAAATGAATACAAAATAAAAAATATATTGAAAATATCAAAACTGTGGGACGGGAATCGAACTCTGGTTCTCCAGTATAGACACGCTGTGCTTTCCTTTCTCGAACGTAGAGTTCACACGAAGGGTGCGAGATCAGAATAGGCCTAAATATTTTTCTCTGACTTCAATACATAAGAAAAGAAGTAGGAATCGCATGCAAAGATCCTTGGCAAGGGTTCCTCTTTATACGTCCCTGAACATCAACGTTTGGTAACTACTTGCATTGATTACGTGAACGTTTTGTTCATATCTTCTGCCTTTTCTCATTGAACGGAGTTTAGACACGTGTATCAAGTTAGCAACTTAGGGACTTTTATGATAATGAACGCCTGTTGTTCTACGAATGTACTATAGACATAACAATTCAGTCTGAACTTTGTTCTCGAGTTTAAATTTTCCTCGAAGCGACTTATCTTATCTTTATATAGAATTTCTTAAACAAGGGCTCTTCAGATTATATTTTGGCATAATCGTAGAGCAATGGATTGGGTAGAGTGTCTCTGTCAGAGAGTCCAAGGGTCTTTAACCACACTGAGGTTGCGAAGATCAGCTTTCTTTAATAGTAGAAATACTATCAAATAGTACTATCAAACACTATCAAATAGTACTATCAAATACACGACCTATACTGTACAAAGAATTTTCCTAAACTTATTACTTTCAATGGTTCACTACCAATTCTATGCACTGTTACATTCTCATCTGAGAAAACTTCTGAACTAATCACTAGCACAGAATGAAACAGCCATGCTACCAAAACCTTCCAGCAACCGCCAATATACTTCCACCTTCATCTCACCTAAAAACTAGCCTGAAACTTCTAACAAATGGTATTTCTCTCGGTAAACACTTGCAAGAACGAGCAGACAAAAGCAAAATGTATCGTGGAGCGAGACAAAGGATATTACCGCGCTAAATCAGCCCTAAAAGTTGGCCTCGTTCAAAACTTTCGATTGAGGCTGTTTCTGAAAAAGGGATCTTTAACGAGTTGCCATAAGTTTAAAAATAAAATTCTAACTTAATATTCCGACTTATTAATATCCAAAATTAATTATCATTTACAACGTACGATTATATCATATATTATGTACATATCACTAGGCTTGGTCTCTATTAAAACTAAAACTTTTGACGCTATTATAACTTATGGCTTCTTCTTTCAGTAACGTCCTCAATTACATAGGCCAGACAGGATACTTTTAAATCACTGACAATCATCTCATCGACACGATCCTACACCGAGTTTTGTCCACACCGACAATCAGTTCGTCGTTATCAATAATACATATGCAAGATTAACATTCACAAAGGAGTGATAACAATACAATGATATTTATGATGAAAATACAGATTGCTACCCGATCAGCGTTTACACAGAATCGTTTTCACACACTTGCACTCGAACTTTCGTTCCAATACACTCTGAAACTCTCATTCTAATTCTCAGACTCTTGGATTCGACCTCAGATTCGACATCCCTTTTATAGTAATTCATACCACGCATTGCTAAACGCTCAAAGGTTCTCGAAGCGTTTCTCGAAAGTGTTCATTATTATTTAACCGTTTGAGTCCCAGAGTTTTGAAAGAACACTGTCGAGGAATTCCAAGCAGCGCGAATGCGCTGCCTCTAAGTGGGTATAGAAGGACCCAAGCAGCGCGATAGCGCTTCTATTTTATGTTGGAAAATTCCAAGCGGTGCGATAGCGCTTCAATTATATTATAACGATGAATGGCCAAGTGGTGCAATAGCTCTTCGACTTCGACAGTCGGTGACGCACCGTCAGCTGTCGAGAACGCTCGAAGTGTGCTGGGTTTTCTCGACATGAAATCTGAACAGCGCGATCGCGCTGCTTGGGACACAAGCGGTTAATAATATAGGATATTTTTAAGCTTCATTTTTGTAGGGAACTTTTCACCAGATCTAAAGGACCCGTTAGGATCTACTACAGCTACCACATGGGTCGTAGGAGATCGGGGCCAGGCCACGTGAGGTGGCTTCGCGCAAGGGTACACACCCGAAATGCTCAGTATCCCGTAATGATTCGGCATACTGAGAAGGTATCAACAATTAACCAAGGTGCCTTCGCCACGTTACAGTAGACTGTGTGACTTTACAATAATAGCATTTTTACAATCCACATTCGCATCCTATCGATCAATCATCAGTCGCATTAACAGATATTCGACACTTTACCGTGCCATTCATGCACTTGGCACTTGCTAAGACAAAAGCTCGATTCATTCTCTCATCCCACGCATATACATATTGTGAGTAAATGGATAAACTAACAAGAAGATTTATTTAACAGCACAACATAAATTATAACTAAATCTCGTAAAATAAATTCGCTTCTTACTGTGATATAATCTCTCGAGGATTCTCTCACACGCAACGTCTATTTGTAATGACTGTCATTCACCTACTGATTGTTTTCTCACGAGACTCTCTGTCATACTCGTCACATATACACACATTCTTCCACACAAACATTCCTTATACTCATACCACACATTCCATGACAACCACTACCACACATATGACACTGAAATCATTATCGGTGAACTGATTGTCGATGCAATCACTCGTCGATGTACATTTGCAAATTATTTGACGTTAAGAAAACTCGGTGTCGATGAAACCATCGTCGATGGCTGAAGAAGGGTAGTTGAGGTGAGGCAGGGTTACGGGGTCTGTTAATCCAAAATTCATGTTCCTATCGAAAGAGAGGCAAGAGGTTACTGGTGGTTAGGTTAGTCAGAAGTTGGGAATAAAAGGTTACCTGAGACTGGTTCGCGGTGGACGGAGTGGATGGTCAGGCTCAGTCGGAGAGAGCGCAGAGACAGGAGTCTGCGCGAGATCCCTGTAGAGTCGAAGTCTGACAGTCGGGCCGCATTGTCGTAGCAATTGGACAGCCTCTTCGTGGCTCATGGGTGACAATAGTGCACCGTCCACGGCGACTATTTTGTCCCCAGGTCGAATCCTGCCGTCGCTCAGTGCTGGTTCCCTCACCAGGGCCCTCACGTAATGGCCCAGCGCGCTGCTGTCCGCCTTCCTCAGGGTGAAGCCCAGGCTGCCGTCCACCTTTGTCATTTCTATGTCGAATTCCTGCGAAAGAGAAGGTTGCGAAAGAGTTTAGGTCGCTTGGTTCGTGACCAATTTCGGATTTTAGTGCAAAAGAGAGTCGTGCGTATGGAAATTTGGGGACAGAGGATCTCAACCACTTGCGCTACGATTTAACTTTCGGTTGCCGTGCCTCGCTCTACGATATAACATGCGGTAAGGCGTCACACTGACGTGGTATACACGTCGCTGGCAGTTTTGGAACAAAAGCATCTCGACGTGCGTGGCACGTCTTTATAGCGCAAGCGGTTAAGGTTGTGGAAGAGGTGCTAGGGTTTTGGAAAGTTTTGTAGAAATTAAGGTGGGTGAACAGAATTCGTGAAATGTGGAGATATAGTGAATCATAGGAGTATTTGTGATATAGGTAGCATTTGACATAGGATTGATTTGATATGATTGCTATTTATTTTCCATGTTGCTTTTACAATATGAATTTTAATTAGGCTTATTAACACTAGGTTTACGGGACCCGTTGATGGTTGCTCTAATTATACAATATTAACAGATTTAATTAATTATTTAATTATATTAAGTCTGTTAATATTGTAATTGTTTTTAAATTAAACTAATATTTTTTCCTTTTATTTTTTTATTTTCTTGACAAAATTCGTGGTTTTATTTACTTGACAATTTTATAGGTGTCTGTAGAGATAGGTATACAGAAAACGTCTATAAACCTAATATTAAGTAGAGTATATATTTTTGGAGGGATGGGGGGGGGAGGATTTGGTGGATTTATGATTCGTAACATTCTTCCTTTTATAAATTTTGGTAATGTATTACTGTTTTCTTTTTCTTTTCTTTTTTTATGTAGTTATTCTTATTAATTAGAGTGTATGGTTAGTGTATAGTTTTAAATCTCCTTTGTAATTTTCTGCAATTTAATTTGATAAGAAAATTAATCTCCTTTTTGAATATACGTATGAAAGGTGTATATAATAATTTTGATTAAACAGCGAAATAGTTTGGATTCGTTTGAAATGGATTATTGAAATGAAAACTGTGGAATATCGCGGCAATAAAAACGTTATGTGTAATTTGGTTAGCCTTTCATATGCAGTAATGTTTTGGGCGCAGAAACGCGAGGGATTTATTATAAATGCATCACGAACGGTGTATACTCTGGGAAATACCGAAATCTAAATTGTAAACGAACTTCGATCGAATTTCGTATTCCTCTTGGGACTTCCTACATGTAACAGATAGTATATTCATTAATCACTTTAGATATACTAGTTGCACCGCTCGGCTTGCCCGATAGAACCGAGGGAGGATTAAAAACGCGTATGCTTTTAATTAATAATCTATAAACAACCTGGCTTAATTATCCTCCATTTTGGTACAAAATTTATACTCTTGTGTTCGTTTTAAGAAACAACTTTTTAACAAATTTACATTGCAAAAAAGACAACAATTTAAGAAATTTTTAAGAAATTTCTAATTGAATTACAAATAATACTGATGCTTATTTTTATATTTACTATACTTAACAATTTTCGAGAATTTTTTAACTGACCTACTTCCTTTCATTTAGAGTACTTCATAAGGACACCAAAAAATACTATACACATCAGGAAGAAAAAGAACTTACAAAATTCGACAATTATGTAAATTATTTGAAACAAAATGCAAGTCAACAAAATATTTTCTACATTGATATATTAATAGAGAATAAAATATTTCAACCCATATCAATAAAAATGAATATTTTATAAAGGTAATTTTTCTCAATAATTAAATAAATCTACCTAAGCAAAAATCCAAATAGAAAAATATACATATTTCTTGTATTATGTTAATATTAAACCTACCACGGTCAAATAAGCGGTGAAAGAAAAGGTGTGAAATACCTTTATTAACAGAGACCAAAATATTTCACCCTATATCAATAAAAATAATTATTCTATAAAGATAATCTTCCACAATAGTTAAATAAATTTTCCTAAACAAAAATGGAAAAAGAAAAATATACATGTCCTTTGCGTTATATTAACATTAAACTTACCACGGTCAAACAACCGGTGAACGAAAAGGCGCGAAATATCATCTACATTGAGATATTAACAAAGACCAAAATATTTCACGTCACATACCAATAAAAATAAATATTCTATAAAAATAATCTCTCTCGATAATTAAATAAATTTTTCTAAACAAAAATCAAAAAACAAAAATACACATGTCTTTTGCGTTATGTTAACCCTTTAGACTCAAAGATTTCTTCGCCATGAAAATGCAATTCGAAGCTCTTAGATTTTTATAAGCTCACTGATACTCTTTATGCTAAAATTAAAAAAAGAAAATGGTGAATTTTCGTGAAAAACGAACGAATAGAATAATTTTATGTTCTTAATATAATTATCATCATCCATTATTTAAATTATAGCATAAAACAAACGGTGATTGAGAATCACCTCTCGAATGAATGCAAAGGGTTGACATTAAACCTACCACGGTCAAATAAACGGTGAACTGAAAAGCGTGAAAGTAGAATCTTTCTCAAAAAAAAAAAAAAATAAAAAAAAAAATTAGAATCATTCGAATTCGAATCAGGCGATTATCGTGGCAAAGGGGTGGAAAATGAAGGAATGGAGTGATTCAGTGGTGCAGGAAATTCGGCTATCCGCCGGATCGCGAGAAGGAAGGATCCCATAAGAGTTACTCACGCCGCAGGGTTCGATTTGAAGAGGCGGCAGGGGGTTGAGAATTCGCAGCGGGGGTGGCGGCTCGCGCCGCGTGGGCGGTGGTGGCGGTGCACCCGGTGGTGTGACACTCGTATCACCCGGAAGTCGACACACCACCAACTCGACGGTGCTGGGTGTCGTCCGCAGCACTTCCAGGGCCTCCTGCAACAAGTTGCACCGAACGGAGATTAAAAATCTTATCTGAAACGGCTGCCGATCGCTGAACTAGTCGCGAAAGAAACAGCGTGTTCGAGTGTGTCGTATCGGCTTCCCGAAGTGGCTGTGAAGATTGCTTTCGATGATCGCTGGATAAGGAAGATACGAAATTTTTGGGCAATACGCGATAGTAATAATTAATCGAAGATTTTATCTCCGATGTTTCGAAGTTGTACCTGTGTACGTATACGTACTACATTTTTGGAATTTGGAATTTGTAATAAATTGAAAAACAATTTCTTTTAACAATTTTATTATGATGTACTTTATTTCTGTTGATTTTGACCACTTGCATTTTGAGAATTACTCAATTTCGATATATCTTTCTAGTATTAAATTTTTTGGAGCTAAAAATTTCGCTTTGGGCAAGAAGAATGAGAATTTTTTAATTTTTGGGGATGAAGATAAAGCTGAATTAAATTGTGGATTATTATATTGTCAATAAAATGCAAAAAAATAATTGAGTATTATTTGTTACTTTAGAAACTTGAATATATTTATTATCTATTGATAATTATAATTTATAATAGATAATAAATGATCTAATAAATAATTCTACAGAATTTGTGGTACTTTAAATTATTTTAAAGATATGCAAAAAATAATTGAATATATTTCTTCCTTTGGAAACGTGTATGTATTTATTATCTAAATAAATAATTCGTCTTTCTAATATATAATAAATTATCTAATAAATAATTCTATAGAATTTGTGGTATTTTAAATTATTTTAAAGATGTGCAAAAAATAATTGAATATATTTGTTCCTTTGGAAAGTGTATATATTTATTATCTAAATAAATAATTTTACAAAATTTGTGGTACTTTAAATTATTTTAAAGACATGCAAAAAAATAATTGAGTATTATTTGTTACTTTAGAAACTTAAATATATTTATTATCTATTAATACTAGGTATTTCTAATAGATAATAAATGATTTAGTAAATAATTACACAGGATTTGTGGTACTTTAAATTATTTTAAAAATATGCAAAAAAATAATTGAATATAATTTACTGCTTTGGAAACTTGTATATATTTATTACCTATTGGTAATTCGTCCTTCTAATACATAATAAATGATCTAATAAATAATTCTACAGAATTTGTGGTACTTTAAATTATTTTAAAGATATGCAGAAAAATAATTGAGTATAATTTGTTCCTTTGGAAAGTTGTATATATTTATTATCTATTGATAATTCGTTTTTCTAATAGACAATAAATGATCTAATAAATAATTCTACAGAATTTGTGGTATTTTAAATTATTTTAAACACTTATATTTAATATTTGGATACTTGATACAGTAGTTTTTAATTATTCAAAAAATCTGCTTAATAATTAAAATTGAAAATTATAGGAATGTTTCGTGTTCTTGTTTAACGATAACGTTTTAATGTTCTTGTCGATTCAAGTATCGATTCGTAACCGACGTTAAGTATCAGATAAGGGAAGTTTCTAATCAGAACGTACACACGCGAGAACCTTTTCCGTCATAATAACGATAAAAATATTTCTATTCTTCGTAACTGATTGAAAAAAATCGTTTAAGTAGGTAACCACGATAATAATCGAAAATCGTGGATCTCGTGGCGTATGATTCAAACGGCGTACGTCATTCAATTCGTAACAAAGTCACGGAACTTATGCATAAAATTTTCAGGTCAACGATTAATACGGTATCTCATATGAGATGGCACGAGGTGCAGCGCACAGTATGAACTGATATTACACCTTGATTCTCTGGGGACAAACGGGCAACTGCACGCAAGATAGCGTCGATCTTTGCTCCGAGTTCCGGATGTAGCTGCATTATGCTAATCAAATGCAAATCTCTAAGAGCTACGAGAAGACAAGCCCGTAGCTTCCATCTAAAGCTATAGTAATCGCTATTTTGTCGCAGCCAGCTCATCGCGTTAAGCGGGATGGACCGAGATGAAGGAGAACGGTTTGCGACCATGGGCAAAAGTTATTCCTCGCATGGCAACGAACGCGGATTTTCGGATTCCAATGCGAAATAGAAACGTTTTACTTTCTATGACATTTTTGAAAGAATTTCTAATCATCCTGTCAATTTTTATTTCGATTTTTTAGCTGTAGAATATCTGTGTGTACATACTTGAATGCCTAATGTGGACTCAAAAATGAGTTATTATACTGTAATTAATTATAACGAACGCGGATTTTCGGATTCCAATGCGAAATAGAAACGTTTTACTTTCTATGACATTTTTGAAAGAATTTCTAATCATCCTGTCAATTTTTATTTCGATTTTTTAGCTGTGGAATATCTATGTGTACATACTTGAATGCCTAATGTGGACTCACAAATGAGTTATTATACTGTAATTAATTATATTGTACAAAGCAGTTAAACGACTATAATGACGATATTTTTCTATTACAGAATTCTTTTTCGTCTACTTATCAAAAATATTTTTAATTCTGAAGCTATTACGGTAAAATTATTAATTGTAATATGAAATGAAAATTATTACTTTAAATTAAAATTATTACTTTGAGTAGACATAGTTTTGTAATAATATTTTAAAAGAAATTGTTATAATATGTCAAATTTTATCTTTAATTGCAATAATTGCTTCGTAATAGAGGAAAAATATTTTGGTAATTTTCGACTGAGGAATTTAATTATTTTTACTTTCTTTTTTCGATATTCTTTGATATTTAAAATTCCAATTTTTATTTTCCAATAAGTACCCTAATTAAATTTAATATTAATTTTATTATACAGCACCGAATCTTCCAAAGCTTGAAATTAAAAATAATGGTTAAAAATAGCAAGAGTCGGAGGAACGTTATACTCACATAATAAACCTTTAATTGCAATACTTGCTTCTAAATACAAAAAAAATAATATTTTTGTAATTTTCGACTCAGGAATTTAATTATTTCTACTTTCTTTTTTTAATATTCTTTGATATTTAAAACTCCAATTTGTAAAATTTGTAAAATTCCAATTTTTGTTTTCCAATAAGTACCCTAATTAAATTTAATATTAATTTTACTATACAGCACCGAATCTTCCAAAGCTTGAAATTAAAAACAATGGTTAAAAATAGCAAGAGTCGGAGGAACGTTATACTCACATAATTGGTGAGGCCAGTTAGAGGAATTCCATTGGCAGCCAAAAGTATGTCTCCAGGTTGAAGTTTGTTGGACAAAGCTGCAGGTTGTTGAGGAAACAGTCTCCTTACCCTAACCGGGCCGGCGGTCCCACCACCGGAAACGCTTAGGCCAAGTCCTCGGCTGCTTTTCTGCAACGTCACTCGGAACGTGTTCTCTGAAAACCATACAAAGTGCACTTAATTCCAAGGCGACCGCTTCAAAAGTGAACTTCCTTTTTTTCTTCTTTGAAACTTCCCAGAAGAAAATCTGCTTCAAATTGCCGAGGAGATAACGAAGTCGTAATTGCTGTTTCTCAAAGAGATGCACCTCTATATCACGAGAGTTTGCGAAGAATGGTCTTTTTCTACCTTTAATGACTCGTTTATTTTCAGCAAGGAATTTACATATTTTACGAAAGCATAAAGCTTCTTCACCGAGTACTGTGTTTAAAACTCCGCATCGATTTCTTTGAATTTCCATACTAATTTTACCACGATTATTATAAACGTCTCATTAAAATAAATTCACGTGTTTAGCTATCGGTAGAATTATCAAACAATAATTTTTGTAGTAACTGAAAGTACTGTTGTTGGTAGAATTAATATTGAATTTTATTTAGATAGAAATATAATTACGTACACTCTTTTATTTTCGTTAGACTGTTTTAATTATTATTATTATTATGTATATTATATTTAAGGATTCACTATAGGTCGTATACTATAGTTATAGTATTCATTCTCCTTAGAATTAAAATTCATGTCTAAAAGAAAGCTTATGTTTATTTAACAAAATTTGTATCCCTTTAAAGAGCCTAACCTCAAAAAATTAGACGGCCATATAGTTCATAAATAATTTCATAAGCAATAAATAATTTTTCCTGGATAAATTTGGGAAAAAATTTCGATTAATCGGTTCATTTAGGTTCTAACAAATTCATTAAATCCGATTAAAAGGTCCGAATGAAATTCAAGTAAATTAGCCAAGTACTTTAAGTGAACGTTTTTATTACACATCACTTCGACCATTTTATTTCCATCGAATGGACGCGAAGAGAAAACGAAAAAGCGGTGGAATCGTTCGTTGAAACTGCAAAGACAGAACACGCTGTTTCGTAAATATTTATACCACGTTGAAGGAGAGGGCACGGTTCTTTTTTACAGGCGCGTATATTTTCCGGAATTGTAGTCGTAATTTACGATGCCTCACCTCTCCGAAGCGCGACCTAATATTTGGAAATGGGGTAGGACCCGGACAATTACTTTCTACCCGCTGTTCTATGCCGTGTCACTGCACCAGCTGCATATTTCACTTGTTACGGTAATTTTCACGAGTCGCGGTGTCATCCCGTTGGCCATAACTCCACACGGCGTCGCGAGATGGCGCGACGGAGTACGAGCAAACATGGCGAATGCGGCCAGAAAGTTCCACAGTTCGAAAACTCGCAGAGATTTTTCACGATTTTAATACTAATTCTCCGAGAATTAAATGGTCGAATGCTTAATTAAAAGGAGCATTTAACAATTTCTAACGTTAATAATTTATATCTATGAAGTTATAGAAACTTCGACAGTTTGAAAACTCGCAGAGATTTTTCACGATTTTAATACTGATTCTCCGAGAATTAAATGGTCGAATGCTTAATTAAAAGGAGCATTTAACAATTTTTAACGTTAATAATTTATATCTATGAAGTTATAAAAACTTCGACAGTTTGAAAACTCGAAGAGATTTTTCACGATTTTAATACTAATTCCCTAAGAATTGCTGCATTGCCTCGAATGCTTAATTAAAAAGGGTACATATGGCATTTTGAACAGAAATAATTTGTTTCTATAGAGATTATTTGTATCTTGATGAAGATAAATTTGTCACTTTTTCGTAAGCTAAACGATATTTGAAGAATACAAAGTATTTTAGAATTTTGAAAAGTGGAAATATTTAGAGACACAAAAGCCAGCAAGTATTTTCGAACTTGGACGAGTATGTCTGGGAAATGTCGAGAAAGCTTTCAAAAACTGTTTGTTTGCCAAATTCCAAGGCTTTTCGGCTTACTCCTATGTGTTCGATTTAACCTGCACAGTATGGAATACATAGTTTATTTTTTGTACTTTTTTAAATTATTATATACGACTGAAGAGTTCATGCTAAAAACCGACCCTTGTTAATTTTATTATTTCTTCACGAGAGAAAGAAAATAATCCACCACCTGGAATTTGTTTTTGTAAAACCGGTGAGATTTTCTTGTATTACAATTCACGATAATGTAAGTCTTACTTCTAACAATAAATATTACAATACAGTATTGCTTAAAAATTAAAAAAAATGTGATAAAATAATTTCAATTTAACAATGGATACTACGAATTAAAATTCGCCTTGAACAGTGTTCCCCAAATTAAAAAAGCAGTCGAAAATTCAAACAAATGGGGACTCTTAACCCTATTAACCCCGCAATTTATCCACCAATTAAAACCTCTCACAGTGAATAAATTTCTAAAGGGAAAAAATGAATTTCATCGAACAAATTTTCAAAAATAAATTAACTTCGTTCAGACCGATATAATCGGAGTAAATGAAAGCACGAAATACACACGTGCAACGCAAGCGTAACGTAGCATTGCAAGGGAAAAAATGACGAAGAAAATGAATGACCGCGTTGAAAACATCGACAGTCCACCTGACGAGTTAACTCGTCATTGCTAATTAATAGGTTAAGAAACGCAGCCATAAATCACGACGAAATTTCATTCTCGCCGAAGCAATCAGAGGCCTACGAACATCTGCGGTAATAAATAATGAGTAATACACTCATCATTCGCATATTAAACGTCGGATATAAATTCCACAACGTGCTTCTCAATTTCCCAAGCACTCATTCGCAGTGCCAATAAATTATTCTACCCAAACATCCGGTACTCCGTTCATTTCCATAATTATCTCCTCATAAACGTCTACCGAACTCTGCGTTAGACTAACGCGATCGTTGAAAGTGACCGCAGCTTTTGCCACGTTCCTCCATTCCGGCACTCTTTTCTCTCCATTTTTCTCCCGTCATGCGGTACTGGACTTAGCATGGACGAGCACTAGTTCGAAATGACTCGCCTTTTACCGGATATTGACCCGATCCGGACGACATATCGCGCGTATTGTTCACTTTGTTCGCCATTCAGATCGGACCCTCTCGACGGGTAATTTACGTTTGTCACGTTATTGTCCGGGACCGTGCAGTGTCGATCTTCCCAAAAGAGCCGGCCATTGTTGGGATCGTTTCGAAATCGTGGATATCCTGAACGAGTTCGCTGATCATCCTCTAAACGTTCCGGCAAGTTTAAGGATCGATATTCCAACGATTTACAGCCACCATCTGTCATTATCGCCGGTTAACTGGCCCCAGGGTGAACGAAAATTCCAATGCCGGGCATTTCGATCATTCGATCCAGAAGAAGGCGCAATAGGGACGCCGGGTTGCCGAGTTTCGGGCGTTTAAATGACACCCTTGGGATGGATGCGCAGTTTCCCAGAAATGGCGGGATACAAGGTAATTGCGGATTTTTGGCTATTTTTTACTTTGCGAGATACGAGTTGTTCACAGCATAAATCGATTAACTCAGCTTTTTGAAAAATCTTAAATATAAAATGTTATGACTATACTAATTAAATTTGAGATTTTTCAAAAAGTGGAGTTAATCGATTCGTGCAGTGAATGGCTCATATGTATAGCAATGGTAAACTTACCATGGTTTAAATCGTTTTTCAAATTTTTATTAAAAAATCTCCACTGTGCAATTTTTCTTTCGATATATTTTTAAGAATCATTTGATCGTGGTTGGTTTAATGTTTAAAATTAAAAATTGGATGAAGAGAATAATATGTTACACGTGAATAAATAATTAATTTTTTCGAATATCTTGTATAAAAATAAAAATAAAAATTCGCGAATTATTACTTAATAAAACTCAAGAAATATTTAATTACCAAGTATACAGGTGATGTTTGAGAGATGCAAGTTGAAGTACTGCTGTAGCTGTGAGAACAGAGGTAATTAAAAATAGGGTATAATATTTTAATTCCAATGAAACAAAAGATTTCTTTTTTCTTTTAATATTTCTATAATATAGTGTTTCAAATATAGTGAAACATTGTATGTTTGTAAAAATAAAGTATGTTATAAGTACATCTATATCTTGAAACTTCTATTCGTCATATTTTCAAAATTCTATTTTACTTCGAAATTAATTTTGTTTTAAAATAATTCGGAATTTTAATTAAAATTAAAAATAGAGTATAATATTTTAATTCCAATGAAACAAAAGATTTCTTTTTTCTTTTAATATTTCTATAATATAGTGTTTCAAATATAGTGAAACATTGTATGTTTGTAAAAATAAAGTATGTTATAAGTACATCTATATCTTGAAACTTCTATTCGTCATATTTTCAAAATTCTATTTTACTTCGAAATTAATTTTGTATTAAAATAATTCGGAATTTTAATTAAAAAATAAAATATTTCATTCATTGTTTCATTTCATATTTTCAAGACTTTAGGTATACCAAATTTCTCAATTTTCTAACAATTATAAGAGGCCACATGAATTAATTTTCAATATTAACAGTGTAAACGAGATGTAATTAAAAATTTGTGAGATAAAATCGTGGTAACTTGGTAACGAGGTTAATTAGAATTACCTTCCCGAAAGCGAACGTGTATTCGGGAAATTTATCATTCATCGTGGTGTTTTGAATAATAAGCTAAATGGAGCATTACAAAAGCAGAGAAAATTGCGTTCGATAATGGTACATCGTTGTTGGAAAATTTAGCAGATTCGCGGGAATCTAGTGGAGCAGGAAATCCTCAAGCGTGAAGAATCTGCACGTAACATCAAATTGCGTTTTATTCCGCTGAACTATCTCATTTTAATACCATGGATTTTCGTAGTTTCAGAATTTCCAACGAAACGTTCGTTTTATCGCTGGTTAGATTGTTTGGAAGTAACGGAGTGGATGGTTTTGTCGGCGTTTGATAAACGCCTCGTAAAATTTAAGCGTGGAATTCTGCATGGTACAGTGTTATTGCTGCTAATATCGTTGCTAATGCATCCGAATGATTAAATATGAAGTTGCTTGCGTGATGGTCTAACACGCGATTGTGATCGTTTACAGGACACCGTAT